TCCCGTGGAATTCCATCCCACCTTGACGGCCAGGATGTACTCCTGGGGGGGCAGGAGGCTGACGTCGTTCTTGAGCTGCAGCACCGCCCGCACCAGCCCCGTCACGTGGCCATACACGGCGTCATCCCCCCGATCCAGCGGCACCTGCTGGGAATCACAATGGGAACAGCGGGATCACAGTGGGAACAGGGAACAGGGAACCAGCCCCGTCACGTGGCCATACACGGCGTCATCCCCCCGATCCAGCGGGACCTGCTGGGAACGGGAACAGCGGGATCACAGTGGGAACAGGGAACAGTGGGATCACAATGGGAACAGTGAGATCACAATGGGAACAGCGGGATCACAATGGGAACAGCGGGATCACAATGGGAACAGGGAACAGCGGGATCAGAATGGGAACAGCGGGATCACAGTGGGAACAGGGAACAGGGAACCAGCCCCGTCACGTGGCCATACACGGCGTCATCCCCCCGATCCAACGGGACCTGCTGGGAACGGGAACAGCGGGATCAAAACGGGAATAGCGGGATCACAATGGGAACAGGGAACAGGGAACCAGCCCCGTCACGTGGCCATACACGGCGTCATCCCCCCGATCCAGCGGCACCTGCTGGGAACGGGAACAGTGGGATCACAGTGGGAACAGCGGGATCACAATGGGAACAGCGGGATCGCAATGGGAACAGCGGGATCACAGTGGGAACAGCGGGATCACAATGGGAACAGCGGGATCACAACGGGAACAGGGAACAGCGGGATCGCAATGGGAACAGCGGGATCACAGTGGGAACAGCGGGATCACAGTGGGAACAGCGGGATCACAGTGGGAACAGGGAACAGGGAACCAGCCCCGTCACGTGGCCATACACGGCGTCATCCCCCCGATCCAGCGGGACCTGCTGGGAACGGGAACAGCGGGATCACAGTGGGAACAGCGGGATCACAATGGGAACAGGGAACAGCGGGATCACAATGGGAACAGCGGGATCACAATGGGAACAGCGGGATCACAATGGGAACAGGGAACCAGCCCCGTCACGTGGCCATACACGGCGTCATCCCCCCGATCCAGCGGGACCTGCTGGGAACGGGAACAGCGGGATCACAACGGGAACAGCGGGACCACAATGGGAACAGGGAACAGTGGGATCACAATGGGAACAGCAGGATCACAATGGGAACAGGGAACAGCGGGATCACAGTGGGAACAGGGAACAGGGAACCAGCCCCGTCACGTGGCCATACACGGCGTCATCCCCCCGATCCAACGGGACCTGCTGGGAACGGGAACAGCGGGATCACAGGGGGAACAGCGGGATCACAGGGGGAACAGCGGGATCGCAATGGGAACAGGGAACAGCGGGATCACAATGGGAACAGGGAACAGTGGGATCACAGGGGGAACAGGAACAGTGGGATCACAATGGGAACAGTGGGATCACAGCAGGAACAGGGAACAGCGGGATCAAAGGGGGAACAGCAGGAACAGGGAACCAGCTCCGTCACGTGCCTGTACACCGGATCATTCCCCCGGGCCGAGTGTGATCCAGGCTGGGAATGGGAACAGGAAACAGCGGGATCACAGGTGGATCACAGGGGGAACAGGGGTTGGGCTGGAGGATGAGGATGAGGATGAGGATGAGGATGAGGATGAGGATCAGGATGAGGATGAGGATCAGGGTGTCCCAATCCCAATCCAGGGGGTCTCACCTGTGCCCCGAGTCTCGGAGGCTTCTGGGGGGGTCCCGTGAACTGCGCTGGATCCGCAGGGAGGGGAGAGGAGGGGAGGGAAGGACAATCAGTCCAGAGGCTCCCACAGAACCCCGGGAATGCTGCAGGAGCCCTGGGACACCTGGGAATGGTGCAGGACCTGTGGGAATTCTGAAGGACCCCTGAGACCTGCGGGAATGCTGCAGGAGCCCTGGGAATGCTGCAGGAGCCCTGGGAATGCTGCGGGACCCCTGGGACACCTGGGAATGCTGCAGGAGCCCTGGGAATGCTGCAGGAGCCCTGGGAATGCTGCGGGACCCCCTGGAATTCCACCCCCCCCTCCCAGAGCAGCGTGTCCCTGTCCCATCCCACCCATCCCGCCTTCCCCCCGGGATCCCCTTTCCCGGGATGCTCCAAACCCGGGAGGATCCCAAATCCCATTCCCGAGGCTCCTCCCGGCCCCAGAGCCGGGGGGATCCAGGGTGGGATCCCTGGAAAAACCCCCAGGAACTCACTGTAATCCGTCTCCTTCTCCGGGAGCAGCTGCGGATGGGAGGGAAGGGAAAAAAACCGGGAATTAGAGACACAAAATCCTGGCTGGGGGCGGGAAAAGAGGGAAGAGACATCGCCATTCCCTCCTGGAACTTCCTGCGAAAATCCAACACCACCCCCCCCCAGCACTTTCCAGGATTCTCATTTCCCAACTTCCCATCTTCCCATCCCGGGATTTTGGCGGGGCTGGGATCACTCACCGGGGGGAGGTTGTTGTTGTTCATGAACACCGTGGGGTCCTGCGAGGGCAGAAACTCCGTGAGAGACCCGGAAAAGGGGGAAAAAAGGGGGGAAAA